ATGAAACGGAACACACGCAAAGAAACACACCATAAAATGACGATAGTCCACAAGTTATTGGAAAAATATTAAATCTCAAACATAATCCATCAATATTGCTGCTAATTACGACAGTGATAATAATAATAAATAATAATAATAAATAATAAATAATAATAACAATGACATTAAAAATAACGCTAACAATAATATTCAAACGGAAATAAATGTCAAATCGTCCCATGCCATCGCACACAATCGCACACGCCCAGACTGTTCCGATGATGTTCCGTTATCTACTCATACAATCTCCCTTTCCCGTTCACATTTAATAATTAATAATAATGAATAAATAATATTAATAATTAATCATAAATAACGAATAATAATAATAATAATACAAAAATATTATTATTTTTCAATCAACAATTCCTTCCGTTCAATTCAATTTCTTTCTATATCGTTAAACTTTACTAAGCACTACGCTACTAAAAATTACATAACATTCATTTCAACTATAATTTTAATAATATCAATAACAACAATAATAATAATAATAACGATCAATTAAATAAATAAAATCGCCATTATCACAATAATTATCAACATTCCACCGACAAATCAATACCACTTTATAATATTCACCGAACCGCATACCATACCCACACACACACACACACACTATAAACGTGTACACTATAAAACCAGTTTATTCGAGTATTATACTCAAATTTTAATAAATATTAATCTATATATACATGCCCCGTTGCGTTCCGTTCCATTTCCATTACAATTACAATAATAAATAATAGTAAACAATAGTAATGCGACCAGTTCAATGCTAAATATACTACTGAACCGTAGCTATCGCATTTCACCGACAATGAATACAACTTCAAACAGCCATTAAATTACAAACTGTACAATAACTTTTATGACATGACTCATTATTATTAATTAATTAATATTAACTACTCTATAACTAAACCTTAATACGAGTATAACTCCCATAAATTATAACAACAATAATATAAATTCGATTCGCATTAAATTCGTTTATATCACTATTACTATATTACAACAAACATCATTCTAAAATTGAATCACCGAATCACCTACTTCTCTATATTATCTCAAACAATCAATACAAGCAACCAATAATCCACCCGTCCCATCCATCCCTGCAGCTATCCATCCCTAATAACCAGTTACATCGTTACCTACCTACCTACCTACCTCAGTCCTTGTATCTTTTGAACAAATACAAATACAAATACAAACAACACTCTCTCTATCTTTTTACAAATCCGCAATAAAACTCGACTGAGTCGTCGTTCGTCACTTTCATCATTTGCATTACAACCCTTATTACTATTATAACTATTATTATTATTACTATTATAACTATTATTGTTAAAGTATACTATCTAATTTTTCAATAAACACGGGGTCGAATCGACAAACGTGGCCAAAATTTAAGAGAGAGAGAGCAATAAAGAAACAAGGCGCAGACAGACAAAACTGAAGTGAGCAAATTATGCATTCGAGCGTATATGTAACTATATTGATTATTATTAATACTGTTATAAGAGAGAATATTTTTTATCATTATTAAATAATCAACACGACGATATATATATATGAGAGAGCAGATATTGAAGAGATATCAAAAAATAACTGCTTTTAATTCAAGCATAATCACATTGCAATAGTACTGCTGCATGAATAATTAAAAAACAAACCTTGACCAAGAGCGTTACAAACGCTGCCACTCGATCTTCAGCCATTACGAACCCGACCATTTCAAGCAGATCACTTTTTGCTATTTCTTTCGAAATATCCATACTACATATGTACTGCGCCACTAATAGAAACTGAATTGTTTTTATTTTAATTATCTTAATTTTATTTTAATTATTTTAATTATTTATTTTAAAAACAATAACAATCATACAAAAAATAATAAAAAGTAAATAATAAAAAACAATAATAAATAACCACCTCCGCATAGAACAGCAGCACTGGTGACGTTGCGAATGCAACCGAACGTGCATCTTTAAACGCAAACGAAATAAGCGCTGTTATAAGGAAAATTAAACCGAATATCGAATGATACAGCAGACCCCAAATCTGAAAACTTTTTTCACCAATACCAATTAATAATAATAATAATAATAATAATAATAATAAATGTGATTATAACAATAATAATTATTATAATAAATACTTATTATTAATATATAATACTTTACTAGTGCATTATTTCACATCATTACTTTATTCTTATCACTTTATAATAAAACAAACCAACCAACCAGCATCGATAATGAAGCGAGCATGTAACCGTGATAAAGACAAAACGATAAAATCGATACGAGTCCTTCGGATGGAGCTGAGCCATCACCATTTTCATCTCAAATAAACAATAATATAACAACAACAACCACAACATAACAACACAAAACACCACCTCGAAATATCGCTGCAATCTTCTGCCTATCAATCACGCTCGACGTTATCGGTTGCAACTGTACACTCTCCACTGCAGCACCAACAGCACCACCATCCCCACTATCCACTTCCTCTCCGTCCACCAATAACTTAAATGATTACTTATAAAAACAATAAATAACCTACAAGTAAACAACATACATCTTCATGAATCGAACTCTCCGAAGTGGCCACGTATCGCATCGACCTGAGAACGCCTCCTCTCGAGTACTTGTACTGTATTATCAACGTGTAATATAACACCAATATCAACGCTGCATTCACTATGCTCGTCCATTGATTCGTGTCACGTATCCATACCACTTTCAATGCCCACCACTCTGGACACTCATTTTCCACTATACTTGCAAAACCTATCAATCTAAATTTACCACCAAAATAATAATGACAATAATAATAATAATAATAATAATAACAATANAATCTAAATTTACCACCAAAATAATAATGACAATAATAATAATAATAATAATAATAACAATACTAAAAACCACCTGGCCACAAACCAATCAGACGGAATCGCGTGTTGTATGAATGGTATTTGATAGATATAAATGAGAATGAAATGAACGGCCGAATACAAAATGAGTACACGTTTTATGCTATTATTGCAACGTCTATGGAACGGCGTGTACGATGACCACCACGTGACTACGAACAGAAACGATATGAAATACATCGAATTCAATATCGATGGCTGAAATTATTATTATTATTATTATTATTACTATTACAGTAAATAATAAAAATGCCACCTACCTGAATAATACCAACGAGGCCAATGAATAGAATTATAGCCACATCACCTAAGCGTTTCAATGCCACTACGAGCGCATTCACGAATTTCAGCGATTTCGAGACACCAGACTGTTCTTGCTGCTGCTGCTGCACTGTGGCTCTTGGTGAACTCAAATTACATCATAATAAAAATATACAATTAATAATAATAGATTAATAATAATAATAAAAATAACGAACCCAGTCACAGGATGTACCTGTGAGATGTTCGCCCCACTCGAATCCATATTGCCAATGTGTTGATACTGCAGATTATCATTCTGGTGTGATAATATTAAGCAGATTATCGCAGTTATCAGTGATGATAACGATGAAAGAATCTCGGGCGCGATCACCCGAATCGTGTCCAAACCTACACCCCCCTTCACTCTAAATTATATACAACAATAATTATAGTAATAATAATAATAATAATAATCAAAATAAACAACAACACAACAGCACCTCACAAAGCCGATCTGCCGCATCCAGAAGTGCAGCGTTGAGTTGGCGCAATCCCTGGTGTAGTCTTCGATATTCGGTGTGTTGATCACCTCATAGCACTGGTAAACGCACTGCGCGATCGTGAATCCGATCGAGACGATTGTCGTGAGTATCAGATAGACCTTGATCGGGATCGATACTGATGGATAGTGCTTATTGATCGGTGCGAGCAGGGGACCGATAAGTGCCAATAACACGTACACTAACGAGATCAGACTCGGACGAATCACCCCACCTGCAATTAAAAATTATTCAATTTCAGGTCGATTCCAGTCTGGATGCGGCTTTTTTTTTAAATCCTATTACATACTATCATTAATATTATCACTATTATTACTATAATAGATACTATTACTTTTATCATTAATATGCGCAATAGCTTTATTACTAAAACAATAAAACAACATACCAAAAAGCAACGCCGACACGAGCACAGTCTCGCGGAAGAAGTTCTTGACTGCTACCGAAACCATTGCTCTTCTAAAGTTTTCTACGTTTCTACGATAACCTTTCTAGTCGTTCGTTTAATCATTACCTTAATTACAATTATAATAACAATAACACATAATAGATACAAGCCGGATTATAGCCTGCCGCTGCTGCTGCTGGCATATTCCTACACACAGCACTCGTTATGTGATCGTGATCGCCGATTGATCAGTTCGCTTTGATTGTGGCTGATCAGATCATTTTCGCTTATAGCTAGAGCCAGCTCTAAGTGCTAGGTCGCGGTTCGGGTTCGATTTCCGTTCGCGAATGGGAAGGCAAGGAAGATTTTTCTCGAAAGCGAGTTCGACTGCTGCTCTCTCTACCAAAATCATCATCAATAATAACAACAACAATAACAACACTACAATGCATCATCCAAGAGCACAACCCAACCCATCCATCCACCGCACCATCGCACTGCTATATCAGCCTCAATCCAGCCACGTCTACCCGGCTGGCCACTCACCAACGATTACTCAACCAAATAACATTATATCCTCTCGTACTCCGCTCACAAATCAATTTCTCATATATATTTTTTCCAAAATATAAAATATTTTTCACATATATTCCTTCCCCATATAAAATACTCTACTCTTTCCATATGTTCTTCTCAATATTTCTACAAAACGCAGTCTAACCGCCCCACCGCACAAGTCTAAGCCTAAGCTTCACTACCACACTAATCTCTATAACATGAACACATACTAACAATAATAACAATAACAATAATAATAATAATAATAATAAAATCAGCAATATAAATAAAAAATAAGAGCAGAGTACAACAACAACTCGTAAACAATAAATATCAAAGATATATCACCACAACCCATATCACTCCCCTCTTATCAATCTTATCAATCCGCCCTCTACTAAAAACCAACGAAACATGTCTTGTAATACTACTACTCCCATTACTACTATTAATAATGCTATCATAAAAACAATTACATCAATGATAACTATTATATAATAGTAAATAATAATAAATATAATGTAATAATAATAAATAATATAATAAAAATAATATAATAATAAATATAAAAACAATATCGATAGCATTCACCACCGAATGCTTGCCTCTATACAACGCAATACAAAATTCATCCATCACACAACTTTGAAATACTTTTTAAAAATTATTTTATACAAAAAAGTATTCATTCAGTCAGTTTTTAAACCATTCTCATTATGATCAATTCGCCCTATCATGATTATATTCATTACAATTATATTCACCATTCAAATAAACAAAATAAAAAATAAATAAAAAATCAGAAATACAAAACCTCTGATCAATCACCTAATCAATCAATAAAAACATATACGAAACTGGCCATTCAAATCAACTGATCAATAAAAATACAAATATAAACAATAAAAACAATAATAATTATAAACAAAAGGCCCTCTCTGTCCCTGTGCATCAGTTTACAATAATATACAATCAAATAGAATGCAATACAACAATATATACAATCCATTTCAAAACCACCACTATTATTATCACTAAAACAACAATAATAATAACAATAACAATAATAATAACAATAATAATAATAATAATAACAATAATAATAATAATAACACAATTAATAACCCCACCTCAACTCCACAAATGCTATCATATACTCGCAACACAAAATACGCCTCACGTCCTCATATGCTTAACAGGTGCACTCAACTGGAACCAGCTATCGAACGACCTGACCGCCTTCCTGTCCGCCTCGATGGCGTTAAATCTCCTGAGCGGAATCAACACCATGCCTATCATACAATTCTCGCCCACTATCATCACACTACTACAATTCCATACACTCACATCCAACGTCGACTTGTTCAGGTCGAGTCCTTTGTGTAACTGATAATTCAACTGCAATGCACACTTCCATTACTATCACTAATTTTATATTCTTATTTACTTATTAATATTATAATTATTAATTAATAATTATTCACCTCTTCATTGAAGGTTGGCATTTGTGTATTCTTGATCACTCGTGTTTTGCGTTTCGATATTCTCTGTGGATCAGGTTGCAGATATCTTAAAAACAAACAAACAATAAAAACAACCACCACAACACATCAAATAATAAACTCACGTCTTCACATACGAATCAGGCGCCTGTCCATTCTTGGTCACCAAATCCTTGACGTGTCCCACAAATATACTCAACAGCAGAGATCTTTCATTATAGCTTAATCTCAAAAAGATACTTCCAGTCACCACCGAATTTGATAGATTCGTTGTTATTTCATTACCTAGTAATAATTACAATTATTACTTACAATAATAATAACAATAAATAATATAATAATAAATAATAATAATAATAAATACAAAAATAAACATAAACGACCATAATAACACAATATACCTACCAATAAATTGCGAAAAACGATTCGATTGCTCAGGTGCACTATCTCGAAATATTATATGGAAAAACGTGTAGACCAGATCGCACTGAAAATAGTCACAATATTAAACACAATAGCAATAAATAGTAATAATAATAATAATAATAAATAATACATGTGCAATTTCTGAATGACATTTCAGGAGCTCATTTAAGAATCGCTGTATGTCAGTGAGACGTCGTTGTGCTACTGAGCTTATATTCGATCTTCCCATATTGGTGCCACCCGATAACGACGGCAGACTCGCTATCGGAAATCTGCAATAAATTAATTAACTAATAATTAATTAATTAACAAACAACCGAATAAATAAAAACCAACTTGCGCATTAATTTCACGTAGAGCTCTTTAAATTCTGCGAACGATCGATACACAATTGTCGAAACGTTTTCATTTTGACGTTTCACTTGCACTTTATACATCTAAATTTCAATTTTCAATACTAATCATTTTAATTATAAATTAATTAAAAGTAACAGTAATAATTGGTAATAATAATAATAATAATAAATAACAAATAAAAGCAATAACAATAAATAATAAATAATAACAATAATAAATAATAATAATCTTAAGCCATACTAAACCTTACATAAACTTTTTCAGGTATATGCCATTTCTCGAATGCCATCACACTCACGCCTATTATACGACCTTCACTCTTCTCACTGAAATTTTTTACACCAAAATAATAATTATTATCTATATTAATTATTATTATCTACATTAATTATCTATATTAATAACAATATATAATAATAAAAATCAAATCACCTGTACAACTGCGGCACAAAAGAAAGCTTGTTCGGGTCATCGTACGCACCACGAATCATTGACGGCGCGTTCCTTAACTGCACCAGCGTGTGCGCAAAGAAGTTCAACCTGAATATCAATGTTTCTGTGCGGCGCATTGTTATATCCTCAATCCACACCACCCGCTGGCTAGACGAGCACGCCAACCGAGTAGTA